TGGGCAAGATCCTCCTTTTATAGCTCAAGGGGATACCACATGCACCGCCTCTACCTACTCTTCTACAGGGTGGGAACCCACCCTACCTTGACCGGATCACGATCTATCCCTTCGCCCGGAAGCTAAGCCGTAACTTGTCCTTGAGCGGGACCCAGCGCCGCCCCCCGCCTGACACGGGGGACAACCTTGTCATTCCCTCATAAATGGGTGAAGACTTGTGGTGGTCGTCCTTTCGTGGAGGGAGCTCCGAATGACACTCCGATGGGATGGGTCATACCTACCTCCACTCCGCCGGATACAGAGGCGACGTGGGGGCACGGCCGCCCGTCCAATCGGTCATGACCGGTGACAGGCCGGTCACAGACCGGTCATTCCTGACTGCCGTGCGTCAGTCGGGTGGCACCGCACGTCTGCCCCTGCCGCATGAAATGCGGCGAGGGGCAGTTGGGGCGCCTCGCGCATTGATAGCGGTTCAGCCTGGGTCCCCTCCCCGCTCGCTCCCCCCGCCACATGGCAGTTGGGCGAGGGCCTCGGGGCAAGGTGGCGCGAGGGCCCGAGGGGCATGACGTGGCACCTCGAGGCCTCCCGGCTGCTTCTGCGATCCGCGAGGTGCGGGGGTAGGGCCAAGCTGTAGGGCCACGCGGCAGGATGGGAAGGTAAATTCCCCTCACTTCACATACCCCCGAGCCCATATCTCCGACAGTAGCCCCCGGCACCACGTCAGACATTGGCCTCTTGAGGACAGTCTGACGTGGCGCCTCACGACTTCCCAAGCTGTGGTTGTGGGCCCGGCGGGGAATCTAAACGGATTCTGCCGAGCGGCCAGGCTGGCGCATTAGCCATAATGAATACACCTAACAGATCTGGCTTAATAAAAACAAACTTCATAGGTTTGACTAGACAATTTATAATAGTTCGAGGGTTTTAGAGATGCATTTTCCCTTCAATTTAGCTATCTAGTTAGCCTCCAAACTTCTTTTATTTTATACTTCTAAATGTTTATGTTTCAGTATGTCTTGCATTGTTTTGGTGATGACGATTGTGTCAAGATACTTCGACGGTGCAAAGATGCAATACCTACTAGAGATGCTGGAGGAAAGGTGATAATCATAAACATAGTGGTTGGATCAGGCTCGCAGAGGGACATCTTCTGTAACAGCCCTAAAATTTGACAACTTTTTAAAACCGATTTAGTTTGCTTTGATCTTCTAAAAAAATAACCGTCAAGTTAGTAGTTCATTTAAAATACTATTTTCCATGTTTGTTTTCGATGTTTCTTTTCTCGTTTAATTTTGTCGCAAAGTGCATATCATTCCTCAAATAATTCCTTTGAATAAGATTTAAATCTATCCCGAATGTCGGACCATCTAAATTCCACATCAATTCAAATCCTAACTATTTTAATCTTCCCCATATTTTCTTCTTTTCTCTACATGGCTAGGCCAAGCTAGGCTGAGCCAGCCCGATGCAAGCCGCGCTCGAGCTGCCTCGTGCCAACCCTGTGCCGCCTCGCGTCGTGCTCGCGCCCAGCTCGTGCCGCCCCTCGCACGCCACACGCCCGCACGAGCTCTCACGAGGATGAACGACGAACGAATGCCGCCGCGACACCTCCAGCTTCCAGCCTCCGTATTTCCTTCGTCCCTCCACTAGAACGCTCAAGACCGGAGGCAAAAGAAGCGCAATTTCAACCTCTTTCACCTCCTCAAATCCGCCCCTACTCCCGTTAACTCAATCGTCGTCACCGGAGGAAAAATCCCCGAAGCCCTAATACCGGCGTCATTGATTGAGCTCCGAAACTCGTCGCATACATCGCCGATCCTCTGAAATTGAAGGTAAAATCGGATTCCCCATGCCGAGTACTCCCTTTCCCCTCTCTTTACCCATCCAATCTATCGTCGGAACATCGCCGGCACCGCCTCTCGGCGTCGCCTCTCTGTTCGGCCGCCGCCAGCCGCATGGTGCGCCACCGCTCCAGGGCCCGCTAGCTTTGGCCGTCACCACCCTGGGACTCCTCTCGCCTCATTGAACCTCACCAGGCCGCCTCCCGAACCGGAGTTCGCCGGAGTTGCCGCCACCATGGCCGCCTCCGCCTCCTGTTACTGCCCGCCGCCGCCAGCCTCACCGCCAGCGCTTTTCTCGCAGCCGACCACAAAAACGGAATCGCCTCGAGCCCTAGATCACAAAACCGGCGCCCCCTTGTCCAAAACCGGCCTCCTCTGCCGCCGGCAATGTGGGATTCTGGCCAGTTCCTGTGCAGAACGAGAAGAACAGCAAATCCAATTTTCCTATTGAAAAATAAATCAGAAAAATCCTTTTTCTTATTCTATCAGGTTGACCATTGTTTGACCTCAAAAACAAAATCCGAGACCTATTCCAAACTCTTAGAATTATTCCGAATCCATCAGTATCAGTTTCGTTGCAATCCGAGCACCCGTTGCCGCGACCCTAATTTTAGCCCTAGGGTTCGCCGTTCTCCGAAATTCCATAAATCCCTAAAATTATTTCTTTAAATCCTTTTCACCCATTGTTGCACTTTGTGATACTATTTCTTTTGGTTATCTTTGTTTTTCTATTATTTATTGTGATGATGATGGTTGCATAAATAGAAAACGCTGACGTTGGTCCGGTATTCGGAGCGAGTGAAATCTCCGCGCCAGTAGGAGACGGTTTGTACGACTACATCGAGCCCGAAGGTTGCAAGACATGCACCCTCCCTTGAACAATTTAATCCCAGTAGATAGCGAGTTATTTTAGTAGCGTACTTGTCCTTTGGAGTACGATAGACTGCACGAATTCTTTCAAGTTAATTATATTGCTATTATTGCATTATATTTTTCTGTTGTTTTTATAAATACCTTAATAAGCCTTAGAGTCTAACAAACTTAGGATAAAATTTGATAAACACTTAAACAAACTGTTAATTATTTAACATACTATTGATTTATTATGGATATTATTACTGCATATGAAAGCATGCTTATAGAACTATTTATGGCTATATGCTGAGAATTGTTGACACCGCATGTAAGCGGGTGGTACACATGATAGAGTGTTTGGTTTTATGGACCTGTTTATGGTCGTGTTGAATATATGGATATATTTATGGTTATTTCTTATTTAAAATTGATATAATAATCAACCCCCCTTGTGTCAATAAGAATGACATAGTTTCGCCCATCCACACGATCGAGTTATCGAATCTAGCCGTATATTGCTCCAATTGATTAAACTTCTGCAGGCCTTTCGGTGTACTGGCCATTAGCTTTCAAGTGTGTGAAGCAAAGTGACATGGTCCATGTTTATATGATTTATATATGTGGGCTCGATGGGCCCCGAGAGTTCAGAACTACCCTTTGGGTCCATGAAGTTCTGAGCTGCCCATCGAGTAACGAACAATGGTAAGTGGATGCGGAGGTAGGTTGGTACACACCTTGGACTGGATCACTCCAAGCAACATCTCGAGCATCCTTTAACTTACTAGACAGAAGGGAGAGATATATGGAGCAATATTACACCTTGTTACTTTTCAGCCCTGCCAGCTGTGGGTATCGTGTGGGTAAAGCTGGGCAGACGCTGCAGAGTCGTTGAGTATTCGAATACGCCATGCTCCCGGTTAATGGAGATGTGTCTATGGGTGATTCCAGATTATGGGCACAAGTTAAACTAAATGGCTATTAATTAATATGGTTAACTTATTTATTATTTAATGTTCTATTCATGTTATTTATAAGTAACATTCATACTTTTATGCTCGTTATTATTGTTTAAATTAAATGTTCAATAGTGTTTATAACAAATGCTTATTAAGATAGGCTCTATGAAATGAAATAACTGTTAAGGTTAGGGTATAATCCTTCCAGTTCTCAATACTACATGTTGTATATTGCAATTATTGTATTTATTATCATAAGCATGTCTTGCTGAGTACCATTTGTACTCATAAATGGGTTCAGATCATGAAGAGGAAGATGCATGTGGAGGACCTGTTGATCTGTTAGAGTGGGACAACTATGGTTTCTAGGTCATCCTACGCTCAGGCAGTTCCTGTGGTGAAGTCTAGCAGTTTATCTGTTTTTAGAAATAAGGCTTTATAGGCCATATATGTAATGGTTTGTATTTATGTTGTGTTGTGAACTAAGTGACTTAAGTATTGTATAAACGAAGTTTATGCTTTTATATCATTTCATGCGTAACTGAACATCCTGGGCAGATACGTATTCGTGGGACACCATGACTTTATCGGGTGTCCCCACATCTTCAAAGAGACACAAGCGTTGTTTGATCTCTACATGATGTACATAGATGGGGTTGAGAGAGAGGAGAAAGAATGGGAAAGTATATTTTCCAAAGCTGGATTTAGTGCCTACAAAATCATGCCAATATTAGGTTTTCTATCAATAATTGAGGTGTACCCTTGAATGCGTATTGGAATTCAGACCTGATCTTCAGTTTTCGTTTGGTACTTGAACCTAAAGTTTTCTTTAGATAATGACTTGAATTCATGGTGTGGTTTGTAACTTAGTAGACATACATATATAAATCGGAGTACCAAGTCTTGTGTTGCGTGCTTCTAAAACAACTTGCACGCATGGTGGAAAAACAAAGAGATTTTTGTTTGGAAGTTGATATTTCTTGACTACATGGAGTTGAATCAAACTGTATTGTTGGTTTTCTTTGCAAGTTATTTATTTTTATAATTCGACATTGAATTATACTGTAGATCTAATTTCCAATTATATTCATATATGCTTCCATGTCACGTAAAGTGAATAGGAGGTGAACTTTTACTCGTATAGTAGCTGAGTTGCCGTCATCTTTTAACCTCCGGTATCTTTACTACTTAAAAAATTCGTAGTGGCGGTGGTGAGTCCTAAACAATCTAATGGCTGAGAGCTCTCCCAGGATCCTCCCGCAAGATCAACGCACCAGCCCACTCCCCATCCATCCGCGCTCGCATCGCGCATCCACCCACCCCTACACGGCTGCGCCTCCATCCACGCTCACGCAACCGCTCGTGTCCGCGATGCACGCTTCCATCTGCGCATGTCGCAGCGCTCCTCCCCCTTTGACGCCGATACATAGCTAGGAAACGTTGATTCCCTATCACCGGGCACACGGAGTGCACCATCAGCGGCACTGCGGCGGCACACCGGGCACGCGGAGTGCGTCATCAGCCACACGTCGATGCAGCCTGGGTGGAACGCATGCTGGCACCGGGACAGGACGCGGAGCAGCTCGGCGGTGTCGAACGCGCCGTGGCACACGGCGCATTCGGTCACCTGGTCCCTCGCCGTGCCGCGCAGCGTCGCCCATGTCGCCGAACCGGGACACCGGAGTGCTCCCACGGCACAGCTGCTCAGGCCGGAGCGGCACCGCTTGCACAAAGACGACGACGGCTGGAACCCGAGGCCCAGCACAGCGACACCGCGCGCCACGCCCAGGCCACGGTGCTTGCAGTGCTTGGCGTAGATGAGGAAGAAGAAGAGCTAGCGCGAGGAGGACGGCCGTGAGCAGGCCCACTACGACGGACACGTCCACGGCGAGCGTCGGCGGCAGCGGGGGTGGTGCCGGCAGGGAGGATTCCTTCATCAGAATCATCTCTTTCAGCGACCATGGATAATTAAATCTTACGCGAGATTAAAAATGAAAAAAAAAGTTTGTGAGGCAAGGCGTAGCTGGAATGATATAGATCTGCTCAATTCGTAAAGTGAATGAGCGAAATGGGCTTGAGGAAAACCGTGCTTTGCTCCAAATCCTCAATTCTTCTAAAAATAGCGGAAGCTATCTTTGATCAAAGCAATTTTTAGTTGTTGATTTTCGGTTCTGGATTGCTTGATATTGATCATACTACTTCAGAACATGTACATTTTGTTAGGGTTGTCTATTGGATCACCTAGGTTTAGATCTAGTCGGGTGGTTCTATTTGCGATGGATGAACAACAATAGATGAATGAACAAAGAGGGAGTGAGAGGGTTTAGGGATGTGACCAGTCGTTGTTGAGGAGGAGGAAGTCCGGCCGGCCATCGTCGTTGTCGTCGCGGGCTTGACGTGGACGGCGGCGACGGTGTGCTCGGTGCCGATGGCGGTGATGCGGTTGCGGCAGCGACGGTGTCGACGACGAGGCGTGGCGCGGCGGTGGACTTCCCGTCACTGGCTGTGCCCCCTCGATCGGTTAGGGTTTGTGGGGTGGAGTGGCGGCGGCGACGAACCTCGTTCCTTGTGTCATGTTATCCCGTCCCGTCCTCCACCCCTCTTTATATGGCACAGTGTGACGGGGGCCCACCAGCCATTGGGCTGGGCGCCCCCGATCAGGGCGCGGGTCAAGGCCCCCTTGAGCCGTTGGGCTCAAGGGGAGGGAGATCCATCTAACATTCTCCCCCTTTATCTCACTATTTCCTTTAGCTTTTTCTATTCCATCACAGATTTACATATAGAGCATGTTTCATCGTCACGGTTAATTACCGATGGATTCGACAGCCACTATACACATCTCTATTCAGAAACATATACTTTAACTTTTGGGCCCTATAGTCCAGGATTCATAAGGCTTCCCTTAAAACCCATGCATGCTACATGTTCCTTGAACATGTTGGGAGGTAGGCCTTTCATGAGCGGATCCGCGAGCATCCTTTCTGTTCTTATGTGCTCGAGACTGATTGTTTGATCCCGGACTTTGTCTTTCACAACATAGTACTTTATGTCAATGTGTTTGGCAGCACCACTTGACTAATTGTTGTGAGAGTACATTACTGTGGGTTCTTTATCGCAGTATAACTTTAGTGGTTTCTCAATACTATCAACCACCTTTAAAACCGGGTATGAACTTCATTAGCCAGTTCACCTGCCCCATAGCCTCATGGCATGCTATAAACTCGGCATACATGGTAGACCCTGCAGTGGTAGACTGTTTTGAGCTTTTCCATGAAATAGCTCCTACTGCCAGGGTAAACATGTATCCCGATGTTAACTTTGTATTATCTTTTGCAAAGTCAGAATCCAAATATCCCACTATCTGGAGCGATTCTGCTTTTCTGTAAGACATCATGAGGCCTTTTGTTCCTTGCAATCACGCAAGACTTTCTATACCAATTTCCAGTGCTCTAGGCCAGGATTACTTTGAAATCTGCCAAATAACCCGGTAACAAATGCCAAGTCAGGTCGTGTGCACACTTGCGCATACTGTAGGCTTCCTACAGCTGACGCATATGGCTTTGTTTTCATTTTATTGAGCTCATACTGATTTCTGGGACATTGCGATGCCCCATACTTTTCGCCTTTGACTATAGGAGCAGGTGTAGCACTGCATCTGTACATATTGAATTTCTTCAACACCTTTTCTATATATATGCCTTTTGAGAAAATCCCAATGCATACTTTGTTCTATTTCGGTGAATCTCTATGCCCAAAACATATGAAGCCTCACCGAGGTCTTTCATGTCAAAGTTTGAGGACAAGAATTTCTTTATTTCCTGTAGTAGATTGACATCACTACTAGCCAGTAGAACGTCATCTACATACAGAATTAGGAAAATGAGTCTCCCATTCTTAACTTTGAATCAATACAGTTGTCCTCTACATTCTCTTGAAAACCCAAATTTCTTTATTGTTCCATCAAACTTCAAGTAGCATTGTCTTGAAGCTTTGCTTTAACCCATAAATGGATCTCTTTATACGGCATCCCATATTTTTGTTTCCTTTCATGACAAAACCTTTCGGTTGCGCCATGTATACTTTTTCCTCCAAATCTCCATTTAGAAATGTCGTTTTTACATCCATGTGATGTAATTCCAAATCATAATGTGCCACTAGTGCCATTATAATCCTAAAGGAATCTTTACAAGAGACTGGAGAAAATGTCTCATTGTAATCTCTTCTCTTTGCGTGAAAACTTTTGCCACGAGTCGCACTTTAAACTTTTCTATATTCCCTCTAGAGTCATATTTGGTTTTGTAGACCCATTTACAGCCTACTGTTTTGGCTCCTTTAGGAATTTCTTCTAAATCCCAGACATCATTGATTTCATTTCATCTTTCATGGCTTCTCATGGCCTCTTCATATGAGATGGGATCATCCTCCATATGCGACTCTTTCAGGCCTTCTAGGGGCCTCCTATTCAGGCACATTATCTGTTTGAGGCTGTTGCAGCTCCTCCTCTGATGTGGCAACAATTTCTGTTGAATCCTGTAGAACAGGTTCCTCACTTTCATTCATTGTTGCTACATGAGAGATAACAACAGGTGTTGGTACCGCAACGGCATGCATTGCTGGCACAACATTAGCAGGTAAAGAGAAGGAAAGTTCCTGAGTCGACGGAGCGAGTACAGACACCCGCCTCTCCTCAAGATCAATTTCTCGAATTACCGAGCTCCCCCTAATCATTTCGTCTTCCAAGAAGACGGCGTATCTTGTTTCTACAAACTTTGTATAACTGTTTGGACAGTAGAAACGATGACCCTTTGATCTTTCAGAATAGCCAATAAAATGGCAGCTTACTGTTTTGGGTTAAATACTTTATCCTTTGCAGGACTCCCCCACACACGGAGGATCCATAGCTCATACGGTGTTTTGGGCACCGATGCATTCTATACATTGTATGCATTGTTCTAAAACTGAGAACTCCAATGGAGGAAGAATTACATTCTTAACCAGTCTCTCAATTCTCCCCCTCGAAATATGGCCTAAACAACAGTGCCATAATTTCGATGAGACATCAGGAGTTCGCTTTCTTTTCTTTTGTCAACGAGGACACAACATTCACATTCTCAGAAAGAGATAACAAATAAAACTGATCTTGCAACATAAGACCAATACATTCATTATTATACCATAGTTCACATTTGCCATTTCCAAAATGGCAATCATATCTCTCAAAATCCAATTTGGATACACTTATTATCAAGTTTCTTTGCAAAGAAGGGACATAAAAACGTCTGGAAGTAAAAGTGTGAAGCCATTCGCGAGTTCTAGGCGAAGATCTCCAACAGCCTCAACTTTTGCTTCAACTCCATTGGCAACTCTAATGGATCTTTCACTTCTTTGCGTAGTCCTCATGGAACGGAATCCCTTTAAACAATTACACACATGAATAGTTGCTCCAGAATAAATCCACCATGTGGATCTAGAATAACCAATCATAATGAGATTCTTTACAAATGTAATAATGTTCTCACCTTTCTTTGCCATGATCACTGTCAGGAAGTCAAGATGATCTTTCTTGGAATGTCTTGTCTTCTTGCAGTGTAGACACTGATCTTGTCTCAACTGTAAACTGTTGTTTCTGAGGCAGATGCTGAGGCTGTTTTTCTTTTGAGGAGGGTGACCTGTGGCTCTTTTCCTTGTTATCTTTGACAAGGTTAATGGAGTCACCATTGGTCTCTTTGTGTCTTTCCTCCTCTTGCACACAATTAGAGATGAGCTCTTCAATATTCCAATTCTCTGTACTTATTTTGTAGTTGACAACAAGGTTGTCAAAGTTCTTTGGCAATGAGGACAAAACCAGATGGACCAGAAAGTCATCTGAGATGCCCAAATCTTTTTGCTTCAATTTGGAAGCCATATTGCTCATCCTAAGAATGTGGTCTTTTACACCACCTCCATGGTACCTCTCTGTAACAAGCTGCTTTATCAGCTGTGTCGCATAAAACTTTGAAGAACCACTAAACTGGCTCTTTATACTTTCGAGGTACTTAGAGACAGTGTCATACTCTGGGATTGAGCCCAATATGGTTGGCTCAATCGTGTTCTTTACCGCAGCCAAACAATTCTTGTTGGCTGAAGACCATTTCGCATGCTCAATGTCATACGACATGATGAGGGAAGCATTGTCCCTCTCTCTCTTTTGCCATTCAGCATCTGACTCTTTTTCACCTCTGAAAATTTCAGCAGGTTCTATAGGACATGGGGTAGTCAACACCCAGTCCACCTCTCCCAAGATAAAAGCAAGGTCGAGTTCTCTTTTCCATTCTTCGTAGTTATCTCCTTTCAGGGTCGGAATATCTTTAATGTAACCCATCAAGGAGTAGCCACCTAAGATAATCATGTATTGTGAGAACAAAATTAACATTAAAATTATTATGTATTAAGTCTACATCACCGTTGGGCAGAAAATAGACATAACACATAAAGCCATAACTATAACATTGCAATTATCAACGTTGGTCAGAAAAATTACAACATCATAGCACATAATTAATGTTCCTAAAATTAAAATCTCCCGTTGGTTCGAAATTTAATTTTAGAAACACTAATTTTCATCAATTTCATCTATTTGCAGCGGAAGATCTATATACAATTCATATAAATTGTAACAAAACTCTGTTATTTACTCTCTGTAAAATTCTCCCGTTGGTTCAAATTTAAACAGAGGTAAAACATGTAAAAACAATTCAAAATTCTATTGTAATTTGCATGAAAATATACAAAGTACATGTTCAGAAGCATTTCTCACATTTATCTATTCTCTAAACAATTTTCACGTTGGTTCAAATTGCTTAGAAATAAACACAATTAACAACTATAATTGTAAATGCTTCTGAAACAGGGACTTAGAATGAACTTCCTTTCTTTTGATTCGGCCCCGAGGGACCTAAAATGAACTTTTTCGGCCTTTGCCGGTCGGCCCACGGCCGCCTTGCGCGCGGGCGGGCGCCCCCTCCCCTTTCGCCAGGCCGCAACCTGGGCCTGGGCCGGGAAAGTGGCTTGCCGTGCGCTCCCACATGGGCCGATTTCGGTCCGGCCGCCGTCGGCCGTCCGATTGCTAGGGTTTCGATCGGACGGTCGCGCGGGCGGATCGGGCAAACAAAACCGCCTCCGGCCGCCGGCGCCGAAACCCTAGCTCCTCTTCTCTTCTTTCTCTTGCGGTTGCACGGAGCGGCGTCGCCGTCGCCGAAACCC